ACTGGCCGATGCACCACCTGTGCCCGCTACTGTAACAGCTTCACATACATACACGCACACACAAACACATATATACAAACATGTACACAAACACAACTTGCATTTTTTAAAATATATTAAATCATCTGGCACTCCAATGTCAATACGTGCCTTTTCCTATGCGCTTCTTGGTTTGGGCAAACCAAATTTCACGGACGATTCCCCCACACACAATAACCACTGCCATTATTGTCATCAATTAGCCTGACAATCCAGAAGCCTCAGGCTGACCAGCAGCGCTGCCGCGATATCGGCAGTGCCGCGTTGCTGATTTTGTTTTAACGAGCACGGCCGATGCTCGAGCGAGCCAACAGCTGACGCCACATTCGCGTCTATTATTAAAACTACCTGTGCGGCCACAATTCACTTGGCCGCTAGGGGGCCGTCCATAAATGACGTCACGCGATTTTGGACGATTTTTTTTACCCCCCCCCCCCCCCCTTCGTCACACGGCGTGACAAAAAGTCAGAGGTCACAAAGCTCTGCCCTCTCCCCCCCCCAAAAAAAAAACATGCTTCAAATCGCTTTAAACTATTGTCATTGTAGTGCGTCACAAATGTCTGACCCCCCCCAGGTGCGTGACGTCATTTATGGACGGCCCCTTGGCTGGCTCGAGCCCATTGTGAAGGCACACGTGATACCAGGAGGCTTGGTAATTATAACCGCGCAGTTTTGATTTTTTTCTCGCGCGCATGGGATCATGTCCACAATGCATTTCCATGCGCACATTCACGTACACAACCCACAACACGGATCTCCTTTTTAGCCGTGCGCTAAACAAGCAATCGCGTACATCGGTGTGATCAACATTGTGCTTGGACGCCTTCGTCTTCCCAGTGCTGATGTTTATGCCATCAGGTAAAGTGAATTTGAGTCAAACTAGGAATGTGAGACGTTTAAATGCGACCTTCTAGTGATGTATGAACTATGCAAGGTTTGTTATGTTATACTATCTCGGTGCTGCACGGTGTCAATGTATACTGCGAATTGGTCACGTGTGCCAGTGCAGAGACTTTCTGAATATTGACAAACATTCGGATTGTTTACAGAGGCAGTTCAAGGGGGTGGGGAGTGAGGGGAGACGCATATCTACTTTAAAAAAAATATTTACCAAAAACAATACAGATAATAGATAATGTTCGACGGGTGGGTGGATGGGGTTAGAAGGCCGTACATTTTTATATCCTCAGAAGTTCGTGGATAAGCCTCTGTATGTGAACCAGAATAACCATGAGACCAATTCTCATAATTTATTTGTTCACGTTGAATTATAGAGGAATAATCGTGTTTATGAACGGTCGTATTTACTATATTGTTTATTTTATTTAACAGTACTTAACCCATTCATCAATAACAATGTGGTCTAAAAAGGACAAAATCATTTAACCGACAACATTTTAACCAATCGCGTTTTTTCGGTGCGCGTGTACGGCGGAGCTATTAAGGGCTGGCGACTGCGCTAAACACCATGGGGCCTCATTAAATATGAATTAACAAAATTGTTTCTGATGACCAGTTTTAAAAGAGGCTTTTGGATAATGTAATAATTATACCTATCGAGGACCGTATGCAGCCTTCAATTTTAATCAAAACAGTACTACTCAATTAACTGATTTACATTATAAAATAAAAAAATGTTGCTGCCACATTGCATTGTGGGAAGGTTTATTTTTGCGAGAGGCAATGTGATAACACCAATAACTACAATCCCTGGATTCCATTACAAAATAACTTCAACTTGTCATGCACACATTATTCGCTCACTCTCATAGAGAGAGAGAGATGAGGACTTGAAAGCCGCGTGGAACTACAATCAGAGAAGCTGCCACGCGAAGAGCCAGCGCCAACAAGGCGTTCTTCTTTGAGTGTCACCACGTGGAAGGAAACCAAAGCACCAGGAGAAACCTGCAACGAGCAAGGTGAAAACCCCTTCTCCACACGGACGGTGGGGTCCACATTATCGCCGTGTTGCCTTCTCCCCGACAAGCCAGGGCGTGTGGCTCCTCCATGACGCCTATGGGAAGGGAGTTTCACAACATTTGTTCGAACCACCAACTCTCACCTCCAAAGTGATGGATTACAAGCGTGCGTAGCCACCACCAGCAAGCTTATTGCGTGGTTCTGCGATGGGTTTCCTTCGGTTACTGTGCATTTATATTGCCTACGGCCAAATCACATTCGATACGGTCGATCTCGTCGGATGTCAGGAGATGAGGCATGGTTGAAACTGTGGTGACGATTTGGATAGGGGGCACCACTGGGGAATAACCGATGTTGTCGGACTCGGGGCCACCAGATGGCAGCAAAGCAAGGGATGAAATCTGTGTGAGGCTCTGCGATTTATCCCGAACAATGCAAACATTTTCATTTTTCTCCCACAAGCCATTCCTTTTTGGAAATAGCCGCAAGCATTCCAATGCAGGCCCCTGCTTATGCGTCTTAAGATGCATAAGTGAGGCTTTCTCAGGTACATTAAGGGCTTTATTATTATTCTTAGCTCTTTCGATAAAGTCACGTTGAAGGGAAACAATAAAATAATAAAAGATATATAAAACAATAAAAATTCTCACGACGTTTCGACCATAACACAAACGGTCGTCATCAGGTGTGTCGGTTTGCATAAATTTATTTATTTTAAAACGGTGTATTTATTTAAAAATAAATTAATGCAAACCGACACACCTGATGACGACCGGTTGTGTTATGGTCGAAACGTCGTGATAATTTTTATTGTTTTATATATTTTATTATTTTATTGTTTCCCTTCAACGTGACTTTACCGAAAGAGCTAAGAATATGAATTACTGCAGTCACGAAAGCTTTAAATCAAAATTTGGCTTTATTATTGTTTACGATGTCTATATTGTTAATTCACACCACGCGTGATCAATATAGTAACAGCAGTTCAATTTCCTAATTTACATATTTCCAGTTCACACATTTAATAGAGTGTAACGCATACTGACAGCCGATCCCCTCTTTTAATTAAGGATGGATGTGTCAAGGGAAACTACACAAAAGTCCAAAGCACACATTTTACCTCAAATCAAATTATTGAAGACTACAAAAAAAATATAAAAAAAAAACTTTTCAAAATTGGGCAGATGTGCTACCACCCACGTCAAACGATGACAAACTCTACGCCGAGATACGGTGCATCGTCTATGTCTTGGGTGGCATGAGTTTTGGCAACCAATGAAACACATTTTTGGCAATGCAAACACATGTCTGTAAAAGGTTTATCACTCAAAAACAGTGCCAGCTTTGATAGCAAAAAAAAAACTTTAAGATCAACGTTGTGAATTATTCACATTGAAAATTGGCATTTTTGGTGGTGTTATTAGACTAATTTGACAACTTACATTGTGAGGGAAAAATAGTCACGTATATACAACATTTGCACAAAACATCGCGTAACAAATGATGTTACGCATCGCTGCACTGAAAACGTATTGCGGAGCTGTGTGAGGCGGTGGTCCAGTGGGTGGTGCACGGTACTCTGTAAATCCGACAACGCTCGTCAGATTCTGGGCCAAGGCCGACATCAGTGGCGAGCGATATTTGAACGCGTCCCCGGGACCTGCCTTCACCAATACGCACGGCTGAACCAGCCCGGTGAAGTATGGTTAAACAACACCCCGTCACTGAAATTACGTAGGGGAGGCCTTCATCCAGGAGTGAACTGACAGAGAGGGCTTAAAGGTGTCTTGGCGTGAGTGTACCCCATTCTTGGTAACGTGCGACAATGTTCACACAAATGGACCCCTGCGTGAATGTCGTTTACGTTTAACAGGTAGTAGGATTTCGCGACCAATATTGTCCATAATAGAGTTTTTTTGGGTTAGATCGCATACATATAAAATAATCAATATAATATAAATTGATATAAATAAATTGTACTTGAATTATAAATGCTCTGTATTTACTCCACAACACCCCGTTGTGCTGATCCAGTAACGGATTGGCACGTTTCGTTTACGTGACAAACCTTACTAATTTGCTATGTCGGCAGGTTTAACGACACATTTATATTCACTGGATCTAACCACCCCCACCCACACCGCACTATCATGAACGTCTCCTACAACATAAATGTGTGACCATCCTGAGCCACGAAGGGGCGCTGTCTGCCCGTTGGGAGCTTTGGCATTGATCATCGAGAGCTGTGTGCGTGCGCCGAAGGGGAATGGGTGCCGAGCAATGGCCTCAAGACCTGTACACGTTCGCTCTATGGGCATACCAAAGTAGTAATAATAATATGATAATTCACATGTGTAAGGCGCATTTCATGCAAGGATCCCAATGCACCGTCAATATGGGATTAATTATATCAACATAATGGATCCCATATTGAAAAGTCATGCACGTTGCACAGCAATTGTGCAACGACTATAAGTTCACAGCTTACAAGATGCCGTTCGTAATTTTTGAAACGCTGGGGAATTGCAATTTTGAAACGCTGGGGAATTGTATAATTGGTGACATAACTGGGTTTTGAATATTATTTGTACATTGCACAGCGGGCTTCGGTATTGTCATTGCGGCAGCAGGAATACCGCGGTGCATAATGAAAGGTTTGGATTACCAAGCACCCATATCGGTGGTTAGTGTAATCCAGATCGACCCAATACACTGCAGTGACAATACAAAAACAAACTTAACACAATCCTCATTAGCACTGTGGGCTTAACAACGAATGATGTGTAATCGGAGACGTCCATAGACATAGAAAGGCCTAATTACAACTCTTGACTTAAAGCTTTTGTAACCGCAGGTGTACGTATTCTATGGGTCTTTCGATAAAGTCACGTGGATAGAAAAATAATATAAAAAAATATCACGACGTTTCGATCGCAACACAAGCAATCGTCTTCAGGTGAGAGAGGAAGTCGATTGCTGGTGTTGCGATCGAAACGTCGTGATATTTTATTATTATTATTATTTTTCTATCTACGTGGCTTTACCGAAAGACTCATAGAATATGTAATTACAAGTTGGAAACTGCGCTTGCCACCATGGAGCCTGATGGTGTGAGTTCAGTTGTAAAACATGTTTTCTGATTAACAGTTTTTCAAACGGGCATATGAATAGGTAGTTACACTCATATTAGCTTCTGGGAAACAGACAAGCCCGGTAATAGACGATACAAATGCTGTCACCACAACATGCAACTGCAAGTTCGTGTTAAACGAACGTTTGTTTAAATATAATAAATGACATCGTTCACGAGACATTATCTGCCGAATTAGAAATAAACCGATGATGACATTCAATTATTTAATCCGATGTGTTTTTAATTATCCTTTGAGTTGAAAACGGGTTGGGAAGAGGCATAATGTGAATGCAAAACGAAACACAAAAACAACCTTCATAGATTTATCCCCATCGAGATCAGCATACATATTTCCAAGCGATTGTTGTTTTTTTACCAGTATTTATGACCCAGCGAAGAGACAATTTTACATTCTCCGCACTAGCTACTAATTGACCCAGCGAAGAGACAATTTTACATTCTCCGCACTAGCTACTAATTAGAACCCAATAATTGCCTTCATGCTCTAATTAACATTCTGGATTTTCTGTGTTGGTGGTCATGAGTCATTTGTTGACGCTTCACCTTCCTATGGCGGGCATCAGCAAAGTACTCGATGTCTAAATGCTCATCAGCCAAATGCGTGCAATATTGATGGGTGTAAGTAGCTGTGGTTTCTATCCCTTGCAAAAAGAAATATTAAACAAAAATGCCACTTATTTGGTAGCGAAAGGAGGAACCGCGTCCATCGAGGGAGATGGAGCGATGACATCAGAGCACGTGTGCAGGAGCAAAATCGCAGGGCCGTGCAAGATGGCGACTGCAATGGGAATGTCTTCATCCAGCAGTGGATTGATCATGACTGGTGAAAATATAACAAATACAATAATTTGTGAACGTGTGCCATCATTTGAACGTATAAGTCAACCAACGCAATTACAAAAAAATGCTTCTACACTCACTACGCAGTGTACGTGTGTGGGTTTTATCCGGGTGTGTGTGTAGACACTCCAAATAGAGGATCGCAGAGCTCGGGAAATTGTTGGCGCTGGCTCATCGCGTGGTCTGCCTTCCTGGCTGCCGCTCCTCGCTCCTCTGAGTCGTTATATCTCTCTCTATGAGAGTGAGCCAATACTGTGTGCGTTACAAGTTGAAGTCATTGTGTAATGGGATCCAGGTATTGTAGTTATAAATAAATAAACCTTCCCACAATGCAGTGTGGCAGCGACATTTTATAATTTAACTTTTCATGTAAATGAGTTTATCGAGTAATATTTGTTTTGATTAATGAAGGCTTGTTAGATAACACCTTACTATATAGAGGACCGCAGAGCTTGGTATAGTGCCGGCTCACGATCTGGCGGCCTTCTGTGCTTCCTCGTTGCACCTCTGAGTCGATCTCCTCTCTCTCTCTCTGTACGACTTCGTGAGTGCACGAAGAGTGTGCGGTGGCAGCGCGCTACAAGTTGGAATCATCATCGCATGTTGGGCGGTGGGTATCTCAATGCTTTCTCCTCTGCTCCACACACAGACCCACTTCTGTTGTATTTCCGAGAGCAAAAAACGCAACGAATGACCCCTCCCCCCACCCCCGATTGACTGCCCAGCAGTGTTCCTCCAGCTCTGTTAAAAGCCAAAACAGGGGTCCCGCCTGTCTTCGTGGCCACGGCAAAGTGACGCTCGTGTGTATTGTTTAGCGCTTTGTTGTTATCTCACGAGATGAATACTCAGACGCACTACTGTGTTCAACATGTGAATCACAAGTTCAACAATCCGAACAAAAGGCTCATTAAACCGAGATATACGATGCACATTTTTGTAAGCAATGCAGCACATGCAGTAAGAGTGAAAGTTAGACTTGCAAAGTATTTAAAGCTACTTTACTACTACTACTGATAAAAGGTGTGCCCCCTATTTATACGGCCTACATTATATATCGTACATCACACGACGGACTTTTACAGAACTGTTGTCAATCCACTGCTGGATTAGGGCATCCACACATTGTTACGTACTTTTAAAAATTCACAATGCTACTGAAACAACTACAACCGTGCAAAGTCGTTCTTTCTCAATATCTTATATTTATATTCTATTCGTTATAACTTTATGAAATTCTAATACGGTACAATTATACGGGTCGAAATACCAGTGTGTGTGTGTATGTGCAGCCCCTTTTTGTCAATTCACTTCTGCATGAGGGCCTCCCCAATGCTGTGCGGGACTTTGGCAGTTATTTGACCATACTTCCCCACGTCGGTCCAGACAGAGCATGGATCGGGAGGCATGGGGAGTAGAATACAACAATAGATTTTGCTGAAACTGCATTTTTCGGCTGACCCAGTCTGCTCACACAATCCAGTGCCAGTATTTTATTGTAATTATATTTTAATTCCACCGCACATCATGCAGTTGTAAGGTTAGACAAGCTCTGGCTACGTCGGAACAGTTGTTTATGCTATTTTTTTTAAAGGGGGGGGCATTTTCTTAAATTTCCTTGGGACTTGGACCAGAAATAGAGGCAAGTTTCGTGATAATTCAGTGGTCCCCGGTACACTTTCAAAGAAAAAAAATAACCACTCAATGTTCCTAACTGATGTCTGAGAATTGTCAAAAGAAGGGAGGTAACTGAGACACCTTTGTGTGTGGTGCTTCGAACTGGGACTGACTTTTCTCCTCCAAGAAAACCAATTACGCGTGTTTTGGTGAACCCCAGAAAAAAACCCACTCACGTGCAATGTATTTGTTATTTTACAATTGACTCGGAATTTCTTGAAGTTGCACCATAGGGGCAGCAAACCCCCACGATACGGAGCCAAATTCGAGATATTCTAGGAAAATTCTAAGGAGCTCAACAACAACAACCCCAAATCGAATCATAGCAAAGGCTCAATTCAAATACCAAGCATGTTTATAATTGTTTAAATACATCGGTAATATTACTTTGAAACAAAAAAACTACACGCAACAACACGAACCCTTGCTGTGTAGACGAGGCTTCACGTTGTGACTGTGCGGAGCGGTGGTGCAGCGTTTAGCGCTACACTGCGCTGCGCACCTGGCTACCCGAGTTCGATTCCCGCTCACGGTCAATACCAGTGACCATTATCTAAACCGGTCTTGGGCCTCCCCTAGGTCGACTCAGCCTCAAATGGATACCTGTTGCGATGTGTAAACATCGCCACTGGGGAGACAAAGGTGGCTGAACGTGGTGCTGGCCACCCACCCCCTCGTATGGCGTGCCGGCCTTAATATGTGCTCTCTAACAGTGCTTGCCACACCGTCGTGTTATAATTTGTCTTTGTTTGTGTGCTGGTGGTGAGAGTACTGTGTGTGTCAGTGTACTAGTGGTGAGAGTACTGTGTGTGTCAGTGTGCTAGTGGTGGTGAGGGTACTGTGTGTGTGTCAGTGTACTGGTGGTGGTGAGAGTACTGTGTGTGTCAGTGTACTGGTGGTGAGAGTACTGTGTGTGTCAGTGTGCTAGTGGTGAGAGTACTGTGTGTGTCAGTGTACTGGTGGTGAGAGTACTGTGTGTGTCAGTGTACTGGTGGTGGTGAAAGTACTGTGTGTGTCAGTGTACTGGTGGTGGTGAGAGTACTGTGTGTGTCAGTGTGCTGGTGGTGGTGAGGGTACTGTGTGTGTCAGTGTACTGGTGGTGAGAGTACTGTGTGTGTCAGTGTGCTAGTGGTGAGAGTACTGTGTGTGTCAGTGTGCTGGTGGTGGTGAGAGTACTGTGTGTGTCAGTGTACTGGTGGTGAGAGTACTGTGTGTGTCAGTGTGCTGGTGGTGGTGAGAGTACTGTGTGTGTCAGTGTACTGGTGGTGAGAGTACTGTGTGTGTCAGTGTGCTGGTGGTGAGAGTACTGTGTGTGTCAGTGTACTGGTGGTGAGAGTACTGAGTGTGTCAGTGTGCTAGTGGTGGTGAGAGTACTGTGTGTGTCAGTGTGCTGGTGGTGAGAGTACTGTGTGTGTGTGTGTGTCAGTGTACTGGTGGTGAGAGTACTGTGTGTGTCAGTGTACTGGTGGTGAGAGTACTGTGTGTGTCAGTGTACTGGTGGTGAGAGTACTGTGTGTGTCAGTGTACTGGTGGTGAGAGTACTGTGTGTGTCAGTGTACTGGTGGTGGTGAGAGTACTGTGTGTGTCAGTGTACTAGTGGTGAGAGTACTGTGTGTGTCAGTGTGCTAGTGGTGGTGAGGGTACTGTGTGTGTGTCAGTGTACTGGTGGTGGTGAGAGTACTGTGTGTGTCAGTGTACTGGTGGTGAGAGTACTGTGTGTGTCAGTGTGCTAGTGGTGAGAGTACTGTGTGTGTCAGTGTACTGGTGGTGAGAGTACTGTGTGTGTCAGTGTACTGGTGGTGGTGAAAGTACTGTGTGTGTCAGTGTACTGGTGGTGGTGAGAGTCCTGTGTGTGTCAGTGTGCTGGTGGTGGTGAGGGTACTGTGTGTGTCAGTGTACTGGTGGTGAGAGTACTGTGTGTGTCAGTGTGCTAGTGGTGAGAGTACTGTGTGTGTCAGTGTGCTGGTGGTGGTGAGAGTACTGTGTGTGTCAGTGTACTGGTGGTGAGAGTACTGTGTGTGTCAGTGTGCTGGTGGTGGTGAGAGTACTGTGTGTGTCAGTGTGCTGGTGGTGGTGAGAGTACTGTGTGTGTCAGTGTGCTGGTGGTGAGAGTACTGTGTGTGTCAGTGTACTGGTGGTGAGAGTACTGTGTGTGTGTCAGTGTACTGGTGGTGAGAGTACTGTGTGTGTCAGTGTGCTGGTGGTGGTGAGAGTACTGTGTGTGTCAGTGTACTGGTGGTGAGAGTACTGTGTGTGTCAGTGTACTAGTAGTGAGAGTACTGTGTGTGTCAGTGTACTAGTGGTGAGAGTACTGTGTGTGTCAGTGTGCTGGTGGTGAGAGTACTGTGTGTGTCAGTGTGCTGGTGGTGGTGAGAGTACTGTGTGTGTCAGTGTACTGGTGGTGAGAGTACTGTGTGTGTCAGTGTGCTGGTGGTGAGAGTACTGTGTGTGTCAGTGTACTGGTGGTGAGAGTACTGAGTGTGTCAGTGTGCTAGTGGTGGTGAGAGTACTGTGTGTGTCAGTGTGCTGGTGGTGAGAGTACTGTGTGTGTGTGTGTGTCAGTGTACTGGTGGTGAGAGTACTGTGTGTGTCAGTGTACTGGTGGTGAGAGTACTGTGTGTGTCAGTGTACTGGTGGTGAGAGTACTGTGTGTGTCAGTGTACTGGTGGTGAGAGTACTGTGTGTGTCAGTGTACTGGTGGTGGTGAGAGTACTGTGTGTGTCAGTGTGCTGGTGGTGGTGAGAGTACTGTGTGTGTCAGTGTGCTAGTGGTGGTGAGAGTACTGTGTGTGTCAGTGTGCTGGTGGTGAGAGTACTGTGTGTGTCAGTGTACTGGTGGTGAGAGTACTGTGTGTGTCAGTGTACTGGTGGTGAGAGTACTGTGTGTGTCAGTGTGCTGGTGGTGGTGAGAGTACTGTGTGTGTCAGTGTACTGGTGGTGAGAGTACTGTGTGTGTCAGTGTGCTGGTGGTGAGAGTACTGTGTGTGTCAGTGTACTGGTGGTGAGAGTACTGTGTGTGTCAGTGTACTGGTGGTGAGAGTACTGTGTGTGTCAGTGTACTGGTGGTGAGAGTACTGTGTGTGTCAGTGTGCTGGTGGTGGTGAGAGTACTGTGTGTGTCAGTGTACTGGTGGTGAGAGTACTGTGTGTGTCAGTGTACTGGTGGTGAGAGTACTGAGTGTGTCAGTGTGCTAGTGGTGGTGAGAGTACTGTGTGTGTCAGTGTGCTGGTGGTGAGAGTACTGTGTGTGTGTGTGTGTCAGTGTACTGGTGGTGAGAGTACTGTGTGTGTCAGTGTACTGGTGGTGAGAGTACTGAGTGTGTCAGTGTGCTAGTGGTGGTGAGAGTACTGTGTGTGTCAGTGTGCTGGTGGTGAGAGTACTGTGTGTGTGTGTCAGTGTACTGGTGGTGAGAGTACTGTGTGTGTCAGTGTACTGGTGGTGAGAGTACTGTGTGTGTCAGTGTACTGGTGGTGAGAGTACTGTGTGTGTCAGTGTACTGGTGGTGAGAGTACTGTGTGTGTCAGTGTACTGGTGGTGGTGAGAGTACTGTGTGTGTCAGTGTGCTGGTGGTGGTGAGAGTACTGTGTGTGTCAGTGTGCTAGTGGTGGTGAGAGTACTGTGTGTGTCAGTGTGCTGGTGGTGAGAGTACTGTGTGTGTCAGTGTACTGGTGGTGAGAGTACTGTGTGTGTCAGTGTACTGGTGGTGAGAGTACTGTGTGTGTCAGTGTGCTAGTGGTGAGAGTACTGTGTGTGTCAGTGTACTGGTGGTGAGAGTACTGTGTGTGTCAGTGTACTGGTGGTGGTGAAAGTACTGTGTGTGTCAGTGTACTGGTGGTGGTGAGGGTACTGTGTGTGTCAGTGTGCTGGTGGTGGTGAGGGTACTGTGTGTGTCAGTGTACTGGTGGTGAGAGTACTGTGTGTGTGTCAGTGTGCTAGT